AAATGCATGTATAAATGAAGACAAAACAAAAAAAACAACAAACATTATGCTTCTACATCAGAGTGAATTATGTAGCTAATAAGAATTTTGACACATTTCACCTTGAATCCTAGTACATGCATGCTGAAGGAAAATATCACAGAATCTTTTTCATATGAAATATACAGAGTGCCCCCCCCCCCAAAAAAAAAAAAACCTTGGAAACTGCTAGTATAATCTGCAGGCAGACTCTCGGCTTCGGTTTTTCGCAAGTTTCGTAGTGCATATTTCAGAGTCTGCAGTCAGAGACTACTTTCACTCATATCATGATCCCTTAAAGGGAGCATAACTGTATGTGTATATGTAGTCTCTAAATGCAGACTCTACATCGTGCACTATGCAAATTGCAAAACCGAAGCCAATGGTCTGTGCCCGCAGACTAATTATAGTATGACTTTAATTTCTTATGCTAGAACAATAGCAACACTAACAAATCTCATCCAGCAGTTTTGTTGAACAAGATTTTTTTACCACAGGCCTGCAACCATTGAGATTCAGGATGATTTAATTATTTCAGGGGATTTTTATCTCCTAGCTTCACTGCTTGTAAAGGGTTAAACAAATGTTTCAAAAACATTGAAAAAACACTATAAATTCTACATTCATTCTAATATAGGTGAACATTCTTTTACAGCTTTCTGTTTACAAACATATTCCATTTTACATCGTGCACTATGCAAATTGCAAAACCGAAGCCAATGGTCTGTGCTCGCAGACTAATTATAGTAAGGCTTTTTAATGTCTTATGCTAGGAAGCAGCCTTCAAGAACAATAGCAAAACTAACAAATCTTATCCAGCAGTTTTGTTTAACAAGATTTTTTTTTACCACAGGCCTGCAACCATTGAGATTCAGGATGATTTAATTATTTCAGGGGATTTTTATCTCCTTCACTGCTTGTAAAGGGTTAAACAAATGTTTCAAAAACATTAAAAAAACACTATAAATTCCACATTCATTCTAATATAGGTGAACATTCTTTTACAGCTTTCTGTTTACAAACATGTATTTCCCATTTTACTCCTGGGAGAAAAAATCAAAAAGTAAAATTATGCATTTCTATATCAACTAATTCGCTGCTCGTTTTTCCAACAGGATATAAACAACAACAAAAATCAGTCCATGCACTTCTAGTTCACTGGCTTTCATGCACAAACATCATAGAATTGTTTTTCTTGTAAGAAAAAAAAAGAAAATATACAACAGCTATTTGACTTCAATTTGGTTTCGAATTAACCAATTTAAAGATGTTAACAATTAAGAGTCCAAAATATTATTGATCAAAATTATTTTTAAAACCAATTGATACCACTAAGCAAAACCAGACATTAGCTTGAAAGCTTTAAATTACTTAAAAAGTACATGCCTTGGTGCTACATACTTCCTCGAGTCTGTCTTCGACAAAGTTGTCATCAAATCTAGTGGTTTGTAGTCAACAAGTTCCTTTTGATTCTTCACTACATGACAACGTGGAAAACTAAATTCTACTGCATAGGCATGATAGTGTGAATTGTAATACACTGTATCTAATTGGACAAGTACAAAAAATACAGTGCTATTGTGTACAATGATATGCTCTATTTGACCAAACAGAGGAAGCTCGCTAACATCATGGCAGACCAGAAGTGACAACTGATAATGTGTTCCATGTACTTTAACCCAGTTGGCATCAAATAATTCAGTAGAAAGATCCTCTACTTGGATTTGCTCTTGCACAATCTGTCCAATATTTTCATCTAAATCTGACAAAAGTAGTGAACTACCTGGCCCAACCTCCAGATATTCCAAAGGATGGTTTGACTGAAGATGGAACGTTAGTGCTGTCTGATGTTTTTTGGCAAGTGATTTACAAATGTTTTTGTAATTACGCACAGATTCTGCAACACGGCCAAAATAGTGATGTTTCGCTTCGTACCTCATACACCATACATGTATGAGTGGCCCAACTTCTCTCAAACACGTTGGATAATGCACCATAAAGTGGTGTTTTGGCAACAACCTTCTGTCAGGAAAGGTTTTCTGGAAATGTGTGTGATGTTCTTCAGTAAGAATAGACAATTGGGCTATCAAGCCTGCTGTCAATTGAGGAGCAAAAATAATGTCCATACAATCTAGTAATCTAAGTAGCAATTCCCAGTAGACATTTCCTTCTTCAATGTCTTGAGCAATTATGAATGGCAGATTTCGAATCAAGCACCATGCTTGCATAGCCTTCTGTCCAACATCATTCCTAGCTGACCTAAGTTTAATAAAGGATGGTTTGTTCTTGTTATCTGTACGGTTTAAGCAATGGCTGGCGACTCTCTGATTCAGTTCATCTTGGGACAAGAGGGGCGGTTGCCTTTCATATATGAAATACTCTAGAACAAGTTTCAGCTCATACTGAACTATGCCTTCCAAAAGATCATGCATTATATCTAGTGAAAAGTTTGCCAAGACATGAAAGTAAATACAATCATTCAATACAGTCTTTTGTTTCACTCCAAACACATGTGACTGGGTAGTTTGAGCTTCAGCTTCTTCTAAATGTTGCTCATAAGTCTGCCTGGTGCGCATATCCATTGAAACCTCTTTGAATTTGTTCTGTGCCTCTTCCTTACTTGTAACACATAATCGACAGTAATAATGAGCAGAAAAGCTCTCTACAAATCCCAGTAGGGAATTAGCACCAAGATTATCAGCACTTATTTGAGTAATGGTCCCCTTCTTCACAATTCCATTAGGGAGAGCAATGCCAACTGTTGACAGGATATTAATGTCTTTTACAATGTGCTTGAGAATAGCATTAAATCCATATTTCTTGGCATCTTCAGCATACCATAGAGCTATAAGATTGATATTGGAAAGATTGGAATTATACTTTGGTGGCAGATTTTTCAAAATGAAATATAAAGCACCTATCTTGTGAATTTTTGTTTTTGAACCAATGGGGTTCACAGTCTCGAAATCATCATAAAAACAGTGAATTTGGAGGGCATTCTCATCTTCATGGAAAAGAGGGGTTTTCTCAAATTGTGAACCATCACAATAATCTCTCATTACACCATCTGTGCTCTTATGGTCATGAGTAGCAAAATGCAATATATCTTTATTGCTTAAAAGCTGCTTCAAAGAATCTAAAATGGGAACGTAAACAAATGTATCTTCAATAGCAATCTGTTCATACTGCTTAGTTCTTTTATTGAGACGACTATCATATCGGATGCCTAACTTGATTTCTTGTGGTTCAACAAGTCCAATTGATTCACAATACTTTGTCCGCTTATATTCTGAATTCAAATTTTCAAAGGGCTTTTCAAGCATAGCAAAATGTGTTTGAATCTCCTTATAAGCCTCGGATTCTATAGGCAGCTTATGTTTTAAGAAAGCAGCTGTACCCATAGGAAAGAAATGAGCCTGCCGCATACTCCTGCGGCAGACTTGCCGCAGATCTGCAGCAGACCTGCCGCAGACAGTCATCTTTTTCACATGCAAATTAGTTTTGCCGCAGACTTGCCGCAGACTTGCCGCATACTCTTTCAGTATGATGAAGAGTCTGCGGCAGGTCTGCCGCAGACTTGCTGCAGACTTGCCGCATACTCTTTCAGTATGACGAAGAGTGTGCGGCAGGTCTGCCGCAGACTTGCCGCATACTCTTTCAGTATGATGAAGAGTCTGCGGCAGGTCTGCCGCAGACTTGCCGCATACTCTTTCAGTATGATGAAGAGTCTGTGGCAGGTCTGCCGCAGACTTGCTGCAGACTTGCTGCAGACTTGCCGAAGAGTGATCATACTCTTTCAGTATGATGAAGAGTCTGCGGCAGGTCTGCCGCAGACTTGCTGCAGACCTGCCGCAGACTCTTCGTCATGAATATTCATATCTCATATAGACCTGCTGCAGACCTGCCGCATACTCTTTCATATCCAGTACGTGGCAATAAAGTATGCATGTAGAAGAACCAGTGATAAACTGATTGATACTTCATAATCGATATTGGCAATATCGATATTACCAATTAGGTAATACCAATATGTATGTCGATATTACCAATTAGGTATATTCTATTCTCAATTGTATTAACTTCATCACATTGATCATTTGAAGTGTGTTCAAGAGTAACATTTAAAGTGACACAGGCTCGTACACATATATATACTAAATATGTATATTGTTTCTTGGTTAGTAATCATAGTTTCTTGGTTAGTAATCAATATATCTATTGCTTAAACGTGAATGTAATTGTAACATGATCAGACAAAATAATCTATTGGTTAATAATTGCAAAAGGAAAATAGAAATCACAAAAATGATGTGCATTGTCTTAATTTGCTTAACAAATCATGATAAATGTATTTTTCTGTCACACGTGTAAAGTAATAATGAATATGCATGAGATGATTGGTTTCAATTGGCCCTATTAGACTTTAATGGGATTTCCTGTGGCAGACCTGCCGCAGACTGTTCCTGTGGCGTACTGGTATGCGGCAAGTCTGGAGCAAAGTTTCGCCCTGCCGCAGATCTGCCGCAGACAGTTCCTGTGGCATACTAGTATGCGGCAAGTCTGCAGCAAAATTTCATCCTGCCGCAGATCTGCCGCAGACTGTTCCTGTGGCATACTAGTATGCGGCAAGTCTGGAGCAAAGTTTCATCCTGCCGCAGATCTGCCGCAGACTGTTCCTGTGGTATACTAGTATGCGGCAAGTCTGGAGCAAAGTTTCATCCTGCCGCAGATCTGCCGCAGACTGTTCCTGTGGCATACTAGTATGCGGCAAGTCTGCAGCAAAATTTCATCCTGCCGCAGATCTGCCGCAGACTGTTCCTGTGGCATACTGGTATGCGGCAAGTCTGCAGCAAAATTTCTTTCTGCCGCATACTTCGGCATACTCTTTGCCGCAGACTAAAAGTCTGCGGCAGGTCTGCGGCAGATCTGCGGCAGGTCTGCGGCAGGTCTGCGGCATACTTTTCACTTTCCTATGGGTAACGGCTGCCGATGCACTTTTTACTACATCACCTACAATCGCACTGGTTGTTTCTACTACATCATTTACAACTTTTCCAGAGTTTGCACTATTTGCTGAAAATTTTGAAATTACATTTACACACTGCCTGTTCAAGGTATCTACAGATAAAATGTCATCTTCATATACATCCTGATCTTCAACAATCTCATCATTATTAATATTGTATTCTTGAAGACTTTCAAGACTTTCTTCAGGAAAGTCACTCACTTTATCATTTTCATTAGACTGCTCTTTATTATCTGGAAAATCGGTTTTAAGGTGAGTCTGCAAATGTCCCCGAAATCCTCGAAAAGTATGAAATGTTCTCGCACAAGCTCCCTGCCCACAGGTCAATACTTCTTTACCATCTTCAATAACTCCATGTTTCAATCTCAAATGTTGAACCAATTTGGGTATTGCAAACTGTTTGTGGCATTTGAAGCAAATCATGGTGCTAACAATTTCGATCTAATTTCACGTACTCTTGGTGTTTCCCGGGACACTCCGATATCGATTTCAAAAATGGCAGTCTGGACAAAAGTCCAGAACTGCCGCAGAGACAAGCAGTACTGCAGGCCAAAGACAAAGTGGGTCTTGAAGAGTAAATCTACTGCTGCTTCGACCGTGCGTGCCGAACATGGAATGGCCTTGTGATCCACAATGATCATGTAGTTGGTGATTCGGGCCTTGGAATTGCCAATTGCCAGAAGGAACGGTTGACTCTTGGTCTCTTTTGTGTTGTCGAGGAATGCTTGAATACTCCCTCCTGTCTGTGTTGAAAACAAATTATTTGTATAGAATGTAACTAGCACTCAACGCATTTCAATACTCAACGCATTTCAATGAACAACATATTTCGATCAACATTTTTAAAAGACAGCCTTACATGTAGTACTGGGGGAAATTGTGTTTTTACAAAAGGGTTATTGGACAATAATGTAGGACATAAAACCAAATCAAATTTACATCAAAGAAAAGAATTGGAATTGGTCCATCAAATGATATAACATCAAAATATCAGATGATATTTTTTGTAATGAAATACAATTTTTCTTACCCTGTAGAGGGGTAAAAATGCAAGTACTTTCAAAGCTTGTTTTATGTATATGATTAAAAAGGGTCTTTCTAATGTGGTCAAGACATTTCAACTTCCACAAAAGGAGTACGAAAAATAAAGATACTGCAATTTCTGCACTATTATTAACTTGCAGCAAATTTGTGGCATGAAATATTCCTTTTCATTTATTGATTCTCCATGTAGGGCTGTGAAAATCAAAGGCAACATGCCTGATATATCACACAAGTTGTTACTATGTTTTCATACACAACATGTTCCTAGTATTTGTTTGCAAATCTTGATGTCTACTGTTCTAGTTTATTTTACTCCGACCAATTTCAAGGCGGGTGAAGTTTTTGAATAGGCCTAAATTTCTCGAGCACCTTCTCTGTCCAAATCAGTCTAAGCCTCTTCATGTAAGAGATCATAAACCAATATAATTGTTCTCTTTGAACACACATCACGATGCTTTCTGAAACTTTTTTTTTAATGCAGCAAGAATGTGTTTTATGTGACAGGGTATTACCGGTACTTAATATTTACAGTTCTCTTTCGTAATGAAAAGCTAAATACCTTCTGAAATTGAATAACCCTCGAGAGAGCTGAAGAAATGGACACTTTTGCTGACGCAGCTTTGGACTTCCCTTGGCTTGCAGGAGGCAATAGGCACAAGAGGAGGAGGATAGCAGATGTGCTGGAATTCCATCCTGTGCATTACAAAATGAAAATGGTTATTATTAAACAGGCTTACATGTTGATCAAGGTGAAAAATAGAAGTTAAATGTACCAAAATAATTACAAACTGACCTGCTAAAATTTGAATCAAAATAGCCTGTAACAAGAAACTATTATAAGAAATAAGTATATAGTCGAGGACTTATCAATATTATAGCCAAAGCATGCAAGTGGCTGTTAATGCAGTTTAGGGGTACTAAACCAAAAATCCAATTGATGCCAGCTTGGCACCCTTGGAGAAATTTTACTGACACTTATAGCAACGCCTTCTTCTTCTTTCTTATGAGAATTTATACAAAGGGGGATGGGAAAAAAGAAATCAATAGGAAAATAATAAACGGGATATTTATGCATGGGAGAAGGCAACATTCATGGCAAAGCACCTAACCTAGATTGTTCTCTGTTGACACATATATAACAAACTCTTTAGTAGCATAAGTTCATGTTTTTTTTTTTACAATTTTTTTCTTGTTCTACTGAATTTAACATGCTTCTACCCAATTTGACATCCTTTTCATGATTAAATCACAAAAATTGCATCAATACTGGAATCAAATGTTGCAATTAACAATTTATCAAATATGTCCCCTATGGGCCACCATATTTTTCAAAGTTAACTAATGAAGAAAAACAAAAATATCATGATTTTCTGAATTCTAAAGCATTTATCTTCAAATAAAGACAGAGTAAACACAAGCAAGCTGCTAATATGTAAATGCAGGGTCCTGTGGGGTCGATTCAAGTTCATATTATAAGATAATAAGCCATGCATATCATATCTGAGGAAGAAAAATAACAAAGTGAACATATAAACATGATGCTTTGTTTCAAAACAGAAGCTCATTCTATTTCAAAAGTAATGATTGGCAATGTGATAATCCTTATAAAGATTCCACAATGGGCCATGCAACAAACTTTTTTCTTCATAATTATATAAATTTCTTCTTCATAATTATATAATTAATATAATAAAAGAATTATGGAGAGCATGTTCCAACTACAAATAACTTTGCCAAGTGGGCATGTAATGTAATTTTTTGTAATTCTCATTGCAACAAGAGTCCACATTATTTGAGATGCCCAATAACCCTACTGTATCCCAGCCTTCCAGATAAATATAATTTGTTGGAGGAGTTGACAAAAAAAAGGGGGGGGGGGAATTGTTTTAATTGGGATGGGTCATTTTTTGTGATTTCAGCATACTTGTCCCTTAATATACATTTTTAATGAGACTGCAAGCTCTTTGGTGGAATTCTCAATGGTGGTTTAAGACCAAGGTCTAAACTTGGTTCAAAACCATGGATTGGATTAGATTTGCATGTATTCTAAAACTTGTCCAATGAACATGCTTGTGTGAAGCACATATATGCTCAAATTTAAACTAACCTATCAATGGTTTATCCATGGTCTCAAATAAACCACCATCAAGAATTCCACCCTTTATGACATCGGAGGGTGCATTCAAGGGAATGTGCAAAAATACCTTCTTTATTTTGATCAGAACTGTCATAAGATGACAGAAGCTCCATCACTGTCAAGTTTCCTTTCTGCTTCAGAAGTTGTCTTGCAAGTGTAACAACCTTGGGCTTCAACTCGGGCCATTTGGTCAGGAAACGCGAGTGATTTTCAGGAAAAAGTTTCCGAAAATCTACCTCAATCTGCAAGAATACATGTAAAAGGAAAACGGGGAAAAGAGAGAAAAAATAAACTATGCATAATTTTACAGTACAGATACCCCAGTTAGACTAAATCAGCAATATAATAAGGTACCGTCAAAGCTCAGACCCCCATATATACACACCCCAGATCCAGGAAAAGGGGATTCTTCAAATATTTATCTGAATAGCAACCACTAAGAAGTACTTTTGAAGGTCTCTCTACACAAAATCCATACATGAATGAAACTTGCTGGACCTTTGAAATAGATTAGATTTGCTAGATATCACTCATGTTGATGCTCACTGTCCAAAGGTACATGACAACCAGTAATGGTGATTGTTCACCAACAGACAGTCACATGCGGTAAATACAGATACAGATTGAAGGATAAAACTGGCAGAATCTTCGGACTGATATTTTCAAAATCTCAAACATATATAATAAAACAGAGAAATATGAATTTGATGCCTCAGTGCCAAGTAATAATTCTGATACTTTAATTCCCATACACATAATTTTGTTGCCTTAGGCCTGAGAGGCTAAATCAAGAATTAGGAGTAAATTTTTTTGTAACACTTACCAAACCTGGAACAGTTTCAAAAGGAAACTGTTCCAAAATATCCGATGCGGAGCGTCCGTCCCTGACCATATGCTGTCTAACAGGAAAAGTGGATTTCATCTTTTCAACAACCAGGGTAGAATCACGTTCTAATGTTGGACAGTGTCGTAACCAGTTGAGGTCTTCATCATAGGTGCAGCCTGGAGCAGATTCTTGGTCACCTTCTCGGACCTTCCCAGGACCACCATCTCTGCTTGATGGCTTGGGTAATGGGTTGGATGTCTTCTCCTCTGTTGTGCGGTTAACATTTTTTATTCTAGCAGCCAGGAATCCCGTGTTACTTCTTGCATCAAAATAAGCTTCCTAAAGTGAAAGAACGAGATGAATCTTTGACCGCGTGGTTGAAAATGTATGTATAAGCTTTTTGTTGATAATATTAACCTTGAAATGATGCACAAAATGATGTGATGAGAAATTGTAGTTTTCAAAGAAATTTTAGCAAAGTAGCATTAGTGTCATATAATGCAAGCATCTTGACTTTGATACAAGGAAGCAGCCATCACTCTGCCCCACTTCAAGAAAAAAAGAGTTTTGAGTGGTTGTGAAGGAGAGTAGAATGGTATCATACATTTCTTATTGGATATTGTGCCAAAGATGGTGGAGTGTGACCTACACAAGATAAAATTTAAAAAAAAAAATTCTTCTCAGAATATAATTTAGAGAGATTTTGAGGGTATTTTTATCTTATCAGAGTATCATAAGTTTTCTTTTGATTAATGGAATGCAATACCTTCTTATCAGAGAGGACCATGCAGGGCCCATATTCAATTAAATACTTCAGTCAGAAAAATAAATATTTTTTCTTAGATTTTTGCTCGGATAAAATACTTTGCAGATTTTGGTATTCAATTCATAAATTTGGCTAAGTATTTTACTTTAAATTTAAGACACCTCTAGAGGAGACTTAAGCCAAAGCATTTACAAATTTAACTGGTAGATGAAGGCTTACATGTATGTGCGCAGTCACTCTCAGCTGCGGAGAATTATGAAGTAGCGCATTTTTGGTGCAATGTGTTGATTGCGCATCATTTGGTCACAAAATCGTGATGTCACAATGCCTCTCAATAAGTATTTTACTTAAATTTTGACTTACTAAAGTAAAATGCTAAGAACTGAATTGAATACAAAATAAGTAAATACCTTAGCCAAAATACTTAGTAAAAAAACTTACTTAGTCAAAGTATTTATTTGAATATGGGCCCAGATTATAATACTTACATGACCTGTGCTAGTAAACGGATCCTTGAGTCTTGGAAACAGATTCACTATCCCCATGGCATATTTGGTTTTCATAGCTGCTTTTGGATGTTTGCTGTGAAATAAGAAAGCACATCTCCTGTATGAGAATTACAGTCATATGGACTCATGACTGGCTCTATTAAAACAGAACTTAGTATGTTGATAACAAGTAGCATACCCCTAGTGGTCTCGTCTGCATCATATAATTTGCTATAGTTTAGTATTTTTTTATTACTTTAAAATCTCAAAATATCACATGGTTAGTTCATAATACATTTATAAAGTGAGGCCTCATGACGATGAGGCCGCTAACATCTACGGCATTAATCTATTTTAACGTAATGACCCAAAAATGTCACTCACAAGACTGGTAATACCTGATAACCATCATGTGCAAATCACATTTAAAACTAGATGAATCTTCGACCACGCACGGTCAAAATTTAAGCCTCTGCCATCATGCGATCAGAAAGATATTATTGCTTGTTCCATGCCATTGGAAATCCGAAACATTTTGGGTGATTTTACAAATTTTGGGCACTATGAACTTTGACCCCGTGAACCCAAAATCTTCTTCCTCCCATGCTAATACATAATTGAGCTAGGTTTGAAAGAAATTAGTTCAATTTGTCTGAAGTTATAGCAATATCGAGCTTTTTTCGGGTAATTTTTTACAATTTTTGTTTGGCCCTGTGACCTTTGCCCTTTGACCCCCTAAACCCCAAATCTAATCAGTTCATCCTCACATGTATATAAATACTTGTGTCAAGTTTGGTAAAAATCCGTCCAGTAGTTCTGAAGTTATCGTGGTAACAAGTTTCCGACGGACGGACGCACGGACGGACACACGGACGCACGGACGGAAGGACGGACGGACAACCCCGAAAACATAATGCCTCCGGCACCACCTGACGGTGGCGGAGGCATAAAAAATGAATATTTTGAAAAATGATTTTGAAGAGACAACAAATTCCTTTAAAGTTGACCATGTTACCTCAGTTTCTTTTCACATAATTGGTAGTACCTGATAATTATTATGTGCATTTACACAATCATAAAAGAAAATTTGCTGGCACTTACCCATAGTGTTCTTGCATGTGGGCTACCAAAAGGTTAATCATCTGCCGTCTAGTTTTATCTTGAAGTGCTCCAGTCAATTCATACTCTCGGAGAATGGCATCACCTCTGTGCCGCAAAATTTCTTGTACAAACTGCAAACAGGTAAATCATCCCATTAAGTCATAAATAAACATATTGAGTTTATAATGCACTTTCAGGCACTTTAATTCATACTGACCTTTCTAAGGGCACGAAATTTTATGAATGACTATGAATTTATATAGGTACATTATGATATTAAAATTGATATATGGCCAATAATCATAAATTCTAAATAATAATATATTTATTTATAGAGCTTGAAATAGTTTAAATATTGTTAAATACACACTCCCACAAACACCCCAAACACACATATGCACACACGCACATACACACACACGAGGGGACACATGAGGCTACAGGTAAATTTGTGTTTATTGTAATGCGAGTTCCTTCTACTTAATATAGACATGCAAGCCCAATGCCATGGGGAGACCGTCTAAAGTGCCCTGAACAGTGTTCATTACTTTCATATCCACAAACAATACAGCAGGAAACTATTCTATGTTTGGGATCATCATGAACACTACAATAAAGGTTATGTAACAATCGATGCATCTCATCTTCAACTTTTTAATTTTGATATTAGTCCTTTTCCTTGATACCCTCAGAGGTCTATATGGAACCAGATCATGAGATGTATTATTCGATGATTATTTACCTCATTTCTCTTTCCCATTTCTAAAACATTTCATAAAATTTGGCAATTCAATTTAAACCTCTAGACATAATATCATTTGTTTGAAATCATACCACCCATTGGAAGAAAATGAAACTGTAAAAGTTTATGGAAAACTTATGACAGATGACGAAGCAAAAAAGATGGCCAATATCTTACAGGAGTCGTCAGCTTAGATGTACCAAAAAAGAAATCAAATTAGTTGCCTAATGTTAACCTATACCATTACAAAAACCTTACTACAGGAAATATTAATTTACAATGTTAGTTCTAACTACACTAGATGTATTTTTTTTCTCCCAATATCATTTTCAATTTTAAATAATATGAAATCCGTATAGGTGATGAGTCCCTTATATTATGTTGATTATGATAGCTGAGATTGAAATGAAGCAAACAATTTTTTCTTAACCTTACCTCACAAGAGTTGTCAGTGATTGCACCTGATTCACTGAGGGCATTTAATCGTGGCCTCTTTCTACTGGAGCAAAAACTTGAATCAGATTCTGAGCTACTCAGGGAAGAGGAGCTGGTATCCACCTTGATAGTGTCTGCACTTGTGATGCTATGTACATCTGAACCTTTAATAAAGAAAAAAAGATATAAAGCCATGAGCACTGTTAAAAAACAATGAATACTGGCATCTTAAACTTTGGTAGAATTGAATACAGTTGGGCCTCCTTTATCCCCACACTTGGGATCAGCACTAACATGCATAAGGGAATCCTATATTCAAAACATGCAGTTGCCGAGTTTGAATGAATGCATGTTTCTGATCATGAAAAATTGAATTGAATGTGTAATAACAATGTTGGGAATAATGTATATAAGTAACCCAAATAGTTTGCGATATTACGAGTATGCTTGAAATCTTTGTTGGTTCCGCTAATTATTTGAGTAAAATAGGCAAATTCTCAAGTGATCTGGATAAAGGAGACTGGATAAGGGAGGTCCAACTGCATATAAATTTCTATTAGTCTAAAACCATCAGAAACCAGCTAAGTTATATTGGTCTGACACATTTGTTAATTTTATAATACTTGAGCATTTTTTAATGGACAATTTGTTAATTGATGCATTCATTCATGTCTAAGTGAATTATAATACTAGCATTTAGAAATGTTCAATTACTTTTCCATTGGACTGTTCCCAATGAAACCAATAGGTCTGTCCAATATAATCCAACAGAATTCTTTCATGATGGTTTTCTATAAGTATAAGACTAACAGAAAGAAATTGTTGGATTCCTATTATTGGATCAGCAAAAATTTTCTGATGGATTTCTAATGGACCAACAGAAGTATGTGTTGGATTTCTATTGGAGCAATATAACCTTTCTGCTGGTTTCTATGGGTCCTTTATTTCCCTTTCCCTATTGAAACCATTAAACTTATTGGTTTCTATGGGTCCAATAGCCCTCACCTCGTGCTATCACACAAAGCAAACAGAATCAAAATCAGATGAGAAATGGCATAGGAGTGGCCTTTTGTAGGATTTTGAAGCAAAAGGTCAAAGATCATACACAGACACGCACAGAAACACACAAGTATGGCGCCCGTTTCACAGTCCCCTCCTCAAATTTGTTCGGTGGGGTCACAATTTAAATTAAAGACATTTTTTTTTTAAATGCAAGTTTGCATTGTTAAAAAATTCAATTTGTAAGAATCTGTAATTTTTATAATCTTTAGACTTCGAATTTAGATCATTGACCGCCCACAAATCACGGCTCTTGTGGCAAGGTTACGTCATCAAAAAAGGGTAGGTTTTTTTTTCCTCCACCAAGTTTTGAGACCTGTGCCTGTAATTTGAACTGCACATTCATTTATTGCTTATGAAAAGCAAAATGTTAATTCCCTAGACTCTATACAGCATACAAGCCTACACTGTACCTGCTACCAGACGAACGCTGACTCATTTTAACATGCATGCACATACAATGATCAGTGGCGGATCCAGCAGGGGGCGCACCCGGCATGTGCCCCCTCTATATTTTGAGAATTACCTCGTGAACATACACATTACTAAGGTTAAATTGTGATCTGCGCCCCCTCTTTATTTTTAATATGCTCTTTGCACCCCTCTAACTCTATTTTAAAATCCTGAATCCGCTACTGATGATATCACATTTAGCAGGGATTTGCAATTTTGTATTATAATGCACTTTATCCAAAACTTACCAGACCATTCTTCATCTTCTTTTAGCACCATGAGGCTGACTGTGGGATTGCTGGTCACCACATCTCCTAGTACGTCATCGTCTATACCAAACCCTTCTTGTTCATCCACAAGTACGAGATCTTCCCCATCCCTTATGTGGAATTTTCTTCTGACTGTAGGAGAGATTAAATAAATGAGAATAAATATCACAGTGCACTTTTCAGTTTCTTACAGATTGATGGCTCAGTCATAATAAACGAATGCTGCAAAAACTGCTGCTACAAGCCCAACTGTGCTATAGTATACAAATAACGCACGTCCCAGAGTGCAATAGCGGTGAATGCAGTACGCGCGAGGTTTCTTTATATTGGTGCCGCTCTGTGCAACAAGCCCAGCCGCTTGCGGCGAGTTGACAGTGCGAACCATCTGAAGAAACCGAGCGAACACTGCATTTACGTTTCGCACAACAGGGTCAAGTGCGTTATTTGTTTTATAAAATAGCGACACAAACAGCAACAAACAAAAGTTTAGATCTTAAGTATACGAGAGTTCGATCTAGATCTAGAGTTATGTTGGTTCTAGAAATAAAATGAGGGTCTAAGACCTTGCAGGCTTACCAAAAAGTCTACAGGATTCATTGTTTGATCAAAAATAAAATGCATAGGGTGTCTAGAGACGAGTCTACATCAGACAGCTGAAATTCCTGGCTTCATTATAAAATCCAAAAGTCAAAACGGGTCTAAATCCAAGGCAAAAGTAAAACAAAAATTTGCTTTCTAATAATACCCCGCTCTAGCTAGAGCTAACGCGTACGCTGCGCTGGGGATCATGGTGGATCTTGGAGCGTACAATATTAGCTACGCGTAGCCTATAGCCTACAATGCACTCGAGGGAGCGTACTAGTACTACGCGTACGCGCGCGCACTGGATCCCCATGGTCACGCGTACGCACCGTGCAATATAACTTTTTACTGCGCTTTTTCTGCACTCATTTCTGCAAAATCGTGCTTGCATCAAAAATTTGTCAATGCCATGTGACGCGTATTGACCAATCACGATGCTTAAAATACTAGGCTAGATCTAGAGCCATTTTATAATACACCCTAAAACTGTTAAATGGGACATCAAGCTCAACCGGGGGTGGAGTTTGGACTGTTGTGTGCGCTACAAATAGTCTAGATCTAGATCTAGATCTAGAGATTGAATTTCCATGTTTATTATTTTTGCATTTTTTTTATTACATGAATGGGGTAGATCTAGTCTAGATCTAACGTTAGATCTAGATCTAGATATCTAGATCTAGTCTAGACTTCTAGATCTAGATCTAGATCTAGCCTAGACCTGATATTTTTGCAAAAACCCAGGATTAGGCCCTAGAGTGGGCTAGACTAGATCTAGGTCTAGACCTAGATCTACTGATTTTTCCTTTACATTTTGAAACAAATATGTATTAAATAACAATATATAGACCTAGATCTATCATGAATGTTTGCCCTTTGGAGTATTTATCAATGATAATTTTTCAGAAATCCATAAAATATTAAATGGCATCATGCTGACCGGATACCCAACCCGGCCGGACAGCCAAGGCATAGTAGGCCTAGACCTCTAGGCCTGGGCTACCCAACGACAGGCGCGGCTAGCGCCAGCTGACGAACACGTAATACTATAGGCTAGATCTATAAAAGTTTATAACAAACAAGAACCATGTACACTTACTGAGTTCAAAGAATCCTACTGTGTCTTCTGGATCTATAGGCAGGTATTTTCTAATACTTCGATCCGCTGAACAGACCCTGACGCTTAATGGCATGGTTGCATGCACTTCGATCACTTCACATCTAGAATCTAGGCCTAATTTGAAGAATTACTACTCCAGAATCAAGACTTCAAGTCAGTGCCAGTGAAATTCTCTAGCCACATGCTCTCGTCTAGCTGTGCGCGCGCAGCTGCAGAGGCGCATATCGGATCATATGACAACTTTCGTCCAATGATTTTCGTCGAATTCTCTAGCTTATGCGCATGTGCGATTTTATAACACCAAATATGACACCATCAGCCTGTAATTGAATATTTTCACACCGTTGGTGTTATTTTTCGCCAATCGGACATGAAATGAACACCAAGGGTGTTGATATTTTTCTATTCCATGCTGGTGTTGAATATTTAACACCCTGGTTTTTGCAGTGTAGGATAAGTTTAATAGATACCGGCGAATCTCGTGGGACTGTGGTCTCTCGATATATACGGCCCGTGTTATAGCTCTCTAGAAATCTTTACAAAATCTTTGCATTTATCGGTATCGGTATGCAGTATGTAACCAGGTTACAGCAAATTACCAAGGACTCCTATATCGAACAGAACGGAATCGAATGATACCTCACGTGCAGGCATGCGGGGTGAGATTTCTCGCCAGTCGACATCAAGTGGTAGCCTAGAAACTGATCTTGAAGTGACTGGACGAGAAAAGACGAGATTCGTCAATTCTATAGCGTCGGAGGTAAACTGACGCTGTATCGATGTGCTAACCTCTTGAGAGAGGAGATTCAGTTTCTACGGTCGGAGTGATAAACAAACTGTCACTGTTTCGATCCCAGCAAAACCGAGAAAAGCGTCGACCCATTTCACGTGAACGGTAAAAATAACAAATTCATGGCATCAGAGGCGGCGGATCCGGGGGGGGGGGGGGGGAGGGGGGGGGGGAGGGGGACAGTACCACACTCCCTCTTTTTCACGTACCCATAAAATGCCCCGTTTTACATAGTGCCTCTTTTTATTTTTAATAGGTGTCCGTTACACATTAAGTGTCTCTTACCACCTCTGATAAGTGCCCCTTTTAACTATGATAATTGCCCCTATTTAAATCTGAGGGGTGCCCATTTTACTTTAGCAAGTGCCCTTTTCTTTTGTAATAAGTGCCCCTTCCCCTTCTGATAAGTGCCCATTTTCACAGTTGATGAGTGCCACCTCTCACCTCTGATAAGTACCCCCTTTTATTTTTGTCACGTATCCCCCTTTTCTTTCTAATAACTACCCTTTTTCATTCTGATCAATGCCCCTTGTTTTTGTTTAATAAGAGCCACTTTCCCCTTCTCATCAACGCCCCTTCTGACACCCCTGATAGATACCTCTATCAAAATCTCATAAGTGCCCCTATTCCTTCGACAAATACCCATTTTCCTTTGCAGTAAGTGCCCCTTTCTTTTCTTAAGTGCCCTTATTCATCTCAGGTGAATGCACCTTTTCAGGTACAAGAAGTGCCCCTTTCAATCTCTGATAAGTACCCTTTCACATCTTATAAATTATTGCCTCTTGTCAAATCTTCGAGGTTTCCCTTATATTTTGACAAGCGCCTCTTTTCCTTTGTATGCCCTCTTTTCATTTTTATAAGTGCCCCTTTTCTTCTCCGATGAGTGCCCCTTTTGTTATCACAAGCTCTAATAAAACAGAGAGAAATGAATTTCATCAGGCCTTCAAGAAATGTTTGAGAAAGAATTTACTATGTATATACAAGTCATGATGAAAACAAGTTAAATCATGTTCCCCATTCATACAAATTTTGAATTTTAGTTTGTTTCCCCTTTCCACCTCTCTCTCTCTCTCTCTTACTCTGTCTCTTCTGTCTTTTCTCTTCCCCATCCGTCCCTCTTCCACCTTTTTTCTCGTTCTCTCTCTCAGATTCTCACTCCCTTTTTCTTTGAAGAACGACATTTTCCTCGCCCTCTCCACCTCGGTGTGATGTTGATCTGTTGATAGAGGTCGCTAGACCGAATCATCAGCCAGAGCAAGATTTGATCGCTTCGTTTATTTGTTCCAATTTCAGGCTACTATGTGGTCCAAGATTTTTCAATTGCTAATGATGATGATTTATATTAATAATCAAACTTATCTTCGACTTAGATCAAGGAGGTCAATGGTAGATCAAGGATTCTCTGACGAGGGGGGAGGGGTGGTTGTAGGCCTACACTGTTAGAAAAACATGTAACAAGCAAAATAAATAAAAGGGGGAAAAAAGGTTACTAAATGAAGAAGAAAAAACAAATCAATTATAGCGTCATCGGCGACCGTATACACTCATTGCAACTCAGTTTTAAGAAATATTGATTTGAACATTCAACTTCCATTGTCAAGTCGCTGTCATCATTTACACTGGAAACTTAAGATGGAAATCAGTTACCATGGATTGCACAGAACGTTAAATAATTTTGGTCAAAACGTTGAAACATGACTTAAAGCTATATGTTTTGGGATAGATGAAGGCCAAATTCAAACGGCATCGTGGAGTTTTTTTTAAAGAAGAAGAAGACAAAGAAGGAGGAGAAGGAGGAGGGAGGTGCATAGAGGAAGAGGAGGAGGAGGAGATGAAGAAGAAAGAAGAAGAAAGAAGAAGAAGAAGAAGAAGAAGAAGAAGAAGAAGGAGAAGAAGAAGAAGAAGAAGAAGAAAGAGAAGCAGGAGAAGGAGAAGAAGTAATTAGAGAAGGAAGGAAGACATAAAGTAAGGAAGGGAGGAGGAACAAAAGAAAGAAAATACCAGTTTACGCCAATCCCTTTTAGCATCCAAACAGGTTTATGCCTACATACCTCTTTAATTTTTAACTTCAAATTCCCTTATCAGTTTTCTCTCTCATTTTTCTCCCCTCCTTTTTATTTAGTTGAAATATATATTAATTCAAAATAACTAAAAAGTTCGTGTTCATTCACTGGATGGATATAATTGCAGATCTTTTGTGTTCAGAACATGTTTTATATTAGTCTTAAAGACACCTTTGTCATAAATATAAAAGAAATTTTGATCAAAATTCAGATTTAAATACAGTATAATATTCATAGCCCGCAGTGTCCAATTATATTGTGCACAACAATAACCAAGCCATTTAAATTTACCGAACATCCGCGCATGCGCATATCGAAATAAACAGATCAAGATGGATATGTGGGAAAGCTAACGGTCTCGACGATTGGGAGATTTCAACTGAAAATTTGTCTGGCAGAGTGGCAGCCGCTGTCATATTCCCAGCTAAGAGCAGACTGTGAATTCTATGTCTTAGGAAGATACAAACTGCAAAAATGGTCGCCTATCTTTTGTCGAGACTCGTTGTGTAAGTATGATTTTTGAAGCGATTATCTTCTGGCATTTGACTTTGTAAGTGCACTGTGAATGAAACGCAGTGCGGCTAGGGCGGGCGGATTGTCCCTGGTTCGCCGCGGTGATGGTATGTAGTCGAGTCAGCGGGCCTCAATTCAACTCAAGTGCACCAATCTAACTAACGTTACAATCCAATGAGTGCTTGTGAAACTGATTCTTCTTGAAATGAAGATTAACGCACTGTGATTATGCTGTCTTCAAATGTGTGTTGCACTTGTGTATACTCTAAACGTGTATGGACTGCTATTTTCATGAACATAATTTTCGAAAAATGATTGACTGTGCACTGCCAAACTCACACTCACAGCTGTGAGTGTCTCAGTGTGGCAGTGACTTGCATGTGGCATTATTTAAATTACAGTTTAAACTGTCAATTGGGCTGTTTTAGATTTAGATTTTAAAGTAAAGCAGAACATCTTACTGGCATCTCTCTCTCTCTTGTATCCTTCCTCCGCTCAGGTCGGAGATCGTCGGCACTGTGAGTCTGCCGAAGTTACATAAATGGCTTTCTATAACAGTTGTTTGAAATATGTATGAGTAAGGCCAATGGAACAGCTGAGCTAAGTTACACAATATCCAAAGTTAAACTTGGTTTGGATATTGATAACCCCACTGACATGTCACTAATATTAATAAATAATAATAATAATATATTTATTTAGCGCATCATAAATTCATAGACTACATGTTCAAATGCGCTTGACAGTTATGTTGTTAACAGAAGAGATGAGTTTTTAGATATTTTTGAAGGTATTGACTGTATGAAACCTTGTCATTTCTCAAGACCCACAACAGTCTGCACGAATCTTGGCAATATAAGTTTTTAACTACGGTACACTACAAGTCTACTGTAAAACCTGTTGTGAAAATGTAATGAAGAAAACAAGAAATCAATAATTTACCCTAAATATGATAGCATTTGGTGTGGAGAGGTTAAAGTTTTACTTAGCTAGCGATATCGATAACACTCAACAGGAGGCGAGTTGGCTCAGTCGGTAAAGCGTCTGCCTGTCGAACCAAAGATCCCGGGTTCGACTCCCACCCAGGCGGATGACTGAAGCCTGCGTTGTGTGTTAACGTGCCCCTTCCCTTGTTCATAGATGCAGGTTATGTCAAGTGGAAAACACTCCGTCCCTCGGATAGGACGTTAAATGGAGGCCCTGTGTACAGGAGAGTCACCACCCTTGCACGTTAAGAACCCATTGCACTATTCGTATAAGAGTAGGGGGAAACCCCGGTGTAATGGTCCACCTGCATACCCCAACCAGGCCGAGTATACGGCATCTGCAAGAATCTTCAGTATTGAAGGAGGCAGATTATCTTGAAGAAGAAGAAGAAGTAATTGACAGGAAATTGCATAGAAAATATGATATGAAAGTGCCATAGATAATATTATAAATGCCTCATATTTCATATGAAAGACTCACTTTGTACAGATCCCATACAGTGGGTTACATACAAAGAAGTGCCAACAGCTGTTCAGATATGTCAGTCATCATTTGTCATAGATAAAAAAATAAAAGTGAATATAATAAAAGTTGAAGACTTCTATTAATCCGAAATTTTCGCCAATCATAGCAATTTTATGCGCTACAGAATATTAAAAGATATTGTTTGGAGAGAGGCTCATGTTTCAAAATGTATGGCTTCAATTAAAAAAAAAAAAAAGCATACATGTAGGCCTTATTTTAACCATGCCGACAAGATTTTTGAAACAGATAAGTAATGTATTATTTGATAGCTGAATTAGCTTTCATACTAATACTTCATAGGTTTTTAGTGTTTTTTATGTTTTTATTGTAGTTCCTTCAATTCTTCACAGCTTTGCCACTAAGTCACTAAACTGGTAAACTGATCATTGAATTGACATAAAAGTGGAAGGAAAACCAAATTTGTGGCTTCTAGTTTTGTTAAAACCTTTTTTAATACCAGTAGACTTTATTTCATGAAGGAGTTCAAGGAAGTGACTGAAAGGAGTCCATTAGCAAAAGGGATAATATGAAGAGCATATAATTTCATACTTTGGTTGCTGTTTCCTAATGTTGATTAAATCAAGTTGTTCCTAACTTCTCTCCATATGCTTTTTAATGCAAAGTGGGATGTTCATATTGCATGTTATTATGAAAAATATAAAATGTTTGTGGGTTTAAGATAAGGCTGCGACGGGTAGTCGAATGCTCGAGTACCCGCACGGTTGACAACTACTGGGTACGATTTCTCGTACCCGAATATTCGGCCGCAAAAAAAAAATAAAAATAAAAAATAAAAAAAAAATAAAAATAATGTCCAGGCCCACGCTTAGCCGTGCCAGGGAGAGCGGCGGCCGCTGGCATGGTACCGTCGGTAAAAATGTTTCCCAACTCAAGCACTGTCAAACTCACCTTTCAGAAACTGGGACCAAATGTCTAGATTTCTGTTTGGACTTGGAGGAAAATGGATTATTCTGCCATCTTTGGTTTTTAAAACAGCATTGTTTACTGTAATTGGCGCCTTCAACTGCAACTCAAAGTAAAGTTGCATGGGTTTTCGGCGAGGGACCTGGGAAACTGCCGAGTGGTATGGTAGTGGCAAAAAAAAAAAAAAAAATTAATAAATAAATAAATAAAAAATTTAAAAAAAAAAAAAAATTATAAAAAATTATAAAAAACTATAGAAAAACATGGCGTCTGAATATTCGAGTATTCGCTTGTGAGCCTGGGAGTGTATTCGGGTACCTCATTACACTGTTGTGCACAGCCTTAGTTTAAGAGCTTAGTTAAGTAGAACCTTTTGGCCTACTGTAAGTACTGTTTATAGTCAATCAGTGAACAATTCTATAAGTCAGTCCTTCAGTCCTTTACAATTGGTATCAGGCATTCATACATGTATATAATTATACCAATTTCATAATTCTTCCAGCCACATGACTTTTGATGTCAAAGATAAGATGGTTGTATGGAAGCATTTTACGGTTTGATACACACGTGTCAGTCAAACCACCCACAAATATTCAGTATCAATGGAGCATGCACAAAACAAACAGTTTTCAAAATTGTATTTTTCATGAATGAATAATTTTATCCTTGGCAACTACACCTGTATCCAACCGTCATACAGGTACATGTACGCCCACATGGCATTGTATATGGATCCATAACATTCCATCTCTCTTTTCAACTTCTTAGTACATGCAGTGTAGATTGTATGCATGGTTTCTCTTCTGGTCAGTTGTTTCCCATAGAAAAGAAACAGTATAGATCTACATGTACATGTACATGTACATCTTCCATCACATGTCCAAGCCATTGAAGGCTGCTTGCAATGCAATCACAGCATGTGTTTTGATAAACTCAATACAGCCATCAGGGTGCCCTATACACCTACCGATACCTATCCACAGCCTAATGTTGTCATAAGAACGGATTGAAAACATTATAACCCGCTTGCTTAAATGCCAGGCCTGATTGACCTGGTTTGGCTACCATCATCACAGAGTGATCATCGGCCACCTAGGGGCTATAAAAGATTGTCCACATGTAATTAATAAGTGTGTATACAAAAGTGCGTTGTCATTCAAGAATAGTGTAGTTGTCTGTGGACACTCACGAATTGTAATGTGTACAGGTATGTGTGAATGTGCAACAGTGTAATACATACATGTACAGTACAGAAAAAACTTTTCTTCATCTTTTTCCTAGTCCCCTTGTAAGTTTTTTAGTGCAATATTCCTATTATTTATTTAGAACTCTGTCAAAAGAATCGAGAATTGATTACACACAGGAAACACATGTAGCAATTTCTCAGTCAGTGTGTCACTTTTTTTTTTTTTCTTCTTTTTCTGAGGGCCTGAGGGGGGGGGGGTCTTCTTATGATGCCGTTGCTGTGTGGGCAGAGTACTTTTGTTGTCTGGGTCTGCAATGTATTACTTTGTACGTAGTTTTGTTTTCTGTCGTATTGTGGTTGACGTGGTACAAAATTTTTGCAAGGTTAAAGTTGATAAAGAAGTATTGTCACAGACACAGTCAACATGAAAAGGTGAGTGTACATGTAGGCGTACACAAAACAAAGTCCTTTCCTGTAACACTCATAGAGTTGCATCATGAGAGTGCAACTACTGTATGAGGAACACGTGTAGGCTTCCTGTTTTTAACTTACGGTAATTTCTTTAACATGTATGGGTCAGGTACTAGACTTATTAGGTACACTGTAATCTGCTTTTATACAATTTCTTTTCAGTAGTATTCAGTACCTGTTTTTTACTGATTTTAAGTGATTCCAGGTATTCGTCTTTCACAAATTATAAGCTGAATCTCAGAAAAAAGCATTTGATGATTAGAATAAATTAAACAACAGTGGTAATTTTAAACATCAGAAGTTATTTTGTTTGTTGGAAAAAGTGCATGCATGTCTAATAGTATTTTATAACACATCCACTACACTGTACAGTACATCAGATGAGATTTTATTTCCAATATGAAACTGGGAAAAATATGCACAAGGACCACACAAAACAAAACCAAATTCAGACAAGGCCAGCTACATGTAAATGTAATACACTCTGGAAATCTGTTTTCAATCATTTTCCATTTTCACCAAAGATTTATGGATCGTATTGGAATGAGTAAGGTACACTGTAATAAAACGCTGTTGTCATAAAGGTAGCTAGACAAATGTCATTTAGATTGCTTGATGACCTTGTTCTCTGTAGTTATTTATACATTTCATTGTCAAAGGCAGTTGAAATTAAACAGATCCGCAGATTTATTTGCCCAATGATACGACTGTCTGTACTGTGGTTACGGTATCTGTATTTATAAACATTGCGTTGTAATGAAGTCTTGCACAACCGCTCATATTTTTGTTTAATGACTTTTTTTAAGCCATCATTTTTATGACTATATGTGCATACTCATTTGGGTTTGTATTTACCAAATCAGATCAATGTGAACCATCTTTTGTAAACAGTAGATACTG